GGTTAGAGTGACAAATTTTCACATCAATTTTATGTGAAGTTAAAATATTATTTTTGTTATTTCTTATATACATACATATATATGTCCTTTAAATTTTCAATAGCATACTGCAGTAGAAAATTCAAACACGCATATACATACACAGATATATATATATATATATATATATATATATATATATATATATGTATACCCTTTATATTAATCCCTCCCCAATATAAACATCTATAAGCGAGTATTAAATTGTCAAGACTCTATGTTTGTGTGTATGTTTTGTGTGTGTGTGCACTGTACTTAAAAAAAAAAAAATATATTTTTTTACGGGGACCCTTTATTTCTAAGAAAGATATGTGAAAAACGAAGAAGGAATTATATGCGACTTGAACCGAAACTCTTATTACCCCTCGCCACTATTAAAGATACGGTGTATGATTAAAAATAAAGGGATGATATTATGCTCTATACACTTATCGGCACATCGTACAAATCGCTTTCATCGCATATCGTTAGGGCGCACAAATCGCAGCCATCGCATATCGTCATTTCGTACAAGTCACACACCGTACGTATTTCAAATTCTACTTTGACAACAGTTCGTAGATAGTTGTTCCAAGAAAAGACCATTTTTATTGACTTATAGCGTTTTGGTAATTGGAACTTTTCAGTTACTTTTGGAACTTGTGACGGAATTTTATTAAGGAAAGTTTCAGGGACTAAAGTTCCAATAACCAGAGCCCTTCAGTAAAAGATCCAGAGTCTAAAATTAATAATTTAAATGAAGGGAAGGACCAACAATCTTTAATATTTAGGGTCAGAAGTATAGGTCGGATCATGCAAGAGACCTTCATTAAAGAAAATTTTTTTTAGTTTAGAATAAAGTGTAAAATGATGAGTTTTGTGATAAATGAATTCGGATCTACGAATTGATTTTCCCCATTTTCAATCTTCCCACACGGATTTTTTCAAATAAAAAATAGAAGGACTTTGAACTAAAAGTTTTACAATTTTGTAAAAATGAGATAAATGTCCGATTCTTTAGTAACGGGGGAATCGGTGCAGATTTCTCAGACATCCCAGGTACACACGAAGATGTCATTTTCATTATAATTGCATCTCTGCACTACAATTTTGACAATATTATTTAAGGGAAAGGGAATAAGTGGCGGGTTCATCTGCTTTGCGATTTTTATACCGTAATTTTTTAAGAAAAGTTACGCAACTGAACGCTCAATTTCCATTAAAAATTCAGAACTAAAATCTAGATGACAATATACTAAAAAGTTTTTGTCATCTGACCTCAGTCTGAAGACGTTGCTTTGCACATTTAATCTGACGAGTGTCTTCACAAAAAGAGTATGGACTCTAACCTGAAATTTCTAAACAACATTTTAAGGCAAAATTCATTCATTCATTCAAAGTGATCAGCTAGCTAAGTGCTTTGCTATAACCACCGAGTTGAGTTCGTGCTCGTACATTTCTGTTCGTTGCGAACATGCCTCCTGTGGCGGACATAGAAAAAAGACTGGAAAATTCGTTAAAAGATAAAAGCAAATCTCCTTTTTTTCGTTCATATGTACGTATTATGTATTTGATGGCATTAAACACCTTTGACTTATAAGAAATTACATTTTCTCACACCAGTCATCACACATGCACACACTCACACACATATATGTATATATGCAATTACACATGGGTTTGTAAAGTTCTGAAAGTTTATGTATTGGTCCTGTCGTACGTCGTGTGATTGTCATTATAAATCAAAGTTTACTGACAGTAGAAAATTGCAATTTTTTTACTTAAAAGGAAAACTTTTACTTAAAAATTAAGTAATTCGCATTGAAAATTTCACCGTATTAAACGAAATTTCTTCGGAACGATCTTTAGGGCGGATAAGCGATTGCAGCGTCATTGGTAATGATTTAAAAGAAATTTTTGTAAAAACCTTGTAAACGTGTGGTTAAAATACCAGCACCAATACCAAAAGGGATAGCCTTAACGTTGTCTTTTTGCAAAGTTGAAGTTAGAATCTCGTGCTCACATATGCCGGTTAAAACAAACGTCTACAACTGTACGAGAGACCAGTTGCGAAAATCTCAGTGCACAAGTAACTTAATGTAGACAGAAGGAAACCAAGGAAGTATCTTGATATTGACTCTGTTTACCTGCCTGTCTATCGTTTATTGTTGTAGCCATCATCTTGTATTATCGCAAAGCCCAGTAGATAAGAATCGTGCCTATCAGGTCGCCAGACTCGAGTTCAATTTTCGATGGGATCGTTTATTTAATTGTGGCATGTGACCACAGTTATAGCGAGTGACCGATCGATAAAAGCATAAAACTTACACCTACTAGAATATGGACCCACTATACCACCTTACCATTCTTCCCTTACTTTCTTTCTAACCATCACTCTATTTATACATGTCCACAAATGGCTATTCTACCATAAAAAAGACGTTAGTCTAACGTTGGCTACTACAACAATAGTTTAAGAAAACCACTCTAAAATCACCTTAACGCGAATGCGATTACAATCACCTTTTTCAAAAGACCTATGCTCGGCCGACCGCTTAACGAGTCAGTGACATCAAAAAGCACTTTCGCAAAGTCCGTGAGTTTTTAAGTGACGCTATAGTACTAAGAAGAGAGGAGAAGTACGCTTTGCCACAAAACTAAACGAAACGAATGGTTATCGTTAAGTTGATCTCATGCAAGCCTTGACAAAACTTCGTGGGACAAAATTGCAATCAGAACTGTACTGGTGATCACCTTCTCTTAGACATCTAGACTCGAGAGAGCATTAACTTTTCCAGCAATATGGGAAATTATTTAGAGGAATAGTATTGTAAGGACCAAAGTCGCAGCACTTGTTTTAGTCCTATGCGTAGTTATAAGTTACTCGTGTGTACTTAAAGTAGGATAAGTATATTTTATTTTCCACTCAGTTTCCTTTACAGCAAGCAGTTGTTTATCTCTTATGAGTATTGTAGGGATGCTGTAATAAGAAAGAACGGTATAAGTAAAAAAGGAAAAGAGTGGAAGTATGTCAGTTACCTGACATACTTACCTGACATACTTCGAATGTGAGCAACTAACCGATTGGCAATGCCAATTAAATTTCGAATAGAGGCATAGTGGAGAAGAAGATTGCACATCCTCTTCCTTTCGGATCGAACCACTGACTAGGTAACACACCACCATCCGAAATAAAACCCATCATCATCGGCTGGAATTACACGTTAGGGGTATTTAGAAAAAGGATAGTTCGTTCGGTTCCGTTGACCAGTGACGGCAGGTCATTTAAATTAATTATAGGCATTGAAATTTTAATTTTTAGCCCCTAGGTTCTCTATAAGCAACTATACCCCTTCCTTTATTATTCGAGGTATGTATTTTAATAAAAGTAATAAAAGAAAATTGAATTCTAGCGTCAAAAAGATATTAGGATTTTTTATTCGGATGAGGGATGCAACTAACGAACTTAAGGACGCCTGGAATAGCTGCTGAGACTTGCCCGGTGTTAATTTATTAAAAACTAAATTTTTGTTCACAGTGTGTAAAATTTGCTGAACAATAGAAAACAAACGATAAACGTTTGTTCGAATTTGAAAAACTGCAGCGAAACGAAAAAAAAAAAAAAAAAAACCAGAGGAAATTAGTACTTTATCTACTATATATGTTTTTTTTTTTTTTGTTTTCTTCAATATAAAACTTTGAATAAATGGCCATCAATAAATTTCCCTGAATGAAAGATTCTCATACCATTAGAGATTTCCTATGCGCTTCGTAAATTTTTAATTTATACCACAACTATAAAATTTTATAATCTTCTCATTTTTTGTGTCATGTGATTTTACATCTGGTCAGGACAATCTATAGCATTTATTTACGTTTATAGCAATCACTTAAGTTTCACCCAAAGTCTCATCTAATTTAATATGATTTTTTAAGATGGTCTCTTTTCCTTTTCTATTGTGCTATGTTAGTTTCTTCTTTCTTGCCTTGATTTCTTATCCTTTCATCAACATTTACCAATGAGGTCATGTTCCATTTGCTTAATATATATAATTGTTTGAATGAATGTAACGCAGAGAAGGGAATTGAAAAAGAGGTAACACAACTTGAAGGCAATGCGCAGAAAAATAAAATAAAAGAAAGCCATCCAGCCAGCATCCAACCGCAAGCTGAGTATTCATTAAATAAACAACTTAAAGGAGACGGAAAAGGAAAGAAAAGCTGAATAAACAGAGAATAACGAATAATATCTTTTTTTTTCTGTTTTTTCTGTTTTCTTTTTTTTTTTTTTTTTCTTTGTATTTCAAATGAGCATCACTACGAATTAACATAAATAATTAATGGCTCAAACTTTAGATACTCTTTAACAGACACATGGACATTTGCATGCAGTTGCTCTAATAGATTATATAATAAGTCCTCCAAAGGAAAGGAGAACATAAAGCAGACATGAAATGTTTTTACTTGTCTTACGAATAATGTACATAAAAAGTATCCCCCTTTAGTGCCTACAAATAAGAAATCAAGATGAATGAGTTGTTAAAACAGCAAACGTTGCGGTTAAGAAAGAGGAAATGAAAGAAAAACATATAAAACAAAAAAAAAAAGAATACAGTTAAAATCTTACAAATGGTCATAGGTCAAGGCACACACATGCATGCAATTAAAAATTCATTTAGTTAAAAAGGAAACCAAATGGCTTAACATCCAAATGAAATCGACGATAAATTCAAATGTTTATTACACCCATTACCGGAAAGCTAAGCAAACTGTTGAATTTCTTAGGATTTTTTTAAAACCCTTTTATTATATTTTCCTGATTTTTTTTTTGCATTTTGTTTTGTGTTTGTTTTAGTTTGGGTTGTGCTAGAGATTTCTTAAGGATAACAATATAAATAAATATTTAATTACTTTGCCAAAGAATCTGTGAGAGAGCGCTTTAGCATTGTCAATGTAAATTAAATTGCATTTGCAAATGGAATGTGTATCTTTCCTCGAGCAATGCAATTAAAAACTTTCCTTAACTTGACGTTGACTTTCATAGCAAAAAAACGAGGACCGTAAAGCAACAAGAAAACAAACGATAAACAAATAAATGACTTTAAATTTAAAATGAATTGTCATTCATTGTTGGCGACGCGCTCTCCTCACATCATTCCATAAACGTATAGTGAAATAGTACAAAAATTCAAGACCACTCAAAAGACTGGCACCCAAAAACAATCCCAATATACCGCCTATGGTAACGACTGCATCTAAACGTGATCGTAACGCCTGACGGCGATAACGTTCCGATGGTAGATTGGACATCATAATGTCTATGCGTAGGTCCTTCGCTCCTGGTTCAGTTCTGAAATATTTTTCAATATCGCTTTCAATTAATTTAACTTAAAACTTTATTTGAGAAATTCTTACTCTGAATTTGACTCATACACGGAGCGTATGTCGTTTTCGGTACACGAAGGCAAACAAGTGCAAGTGTGATTACTATCCGACCAGGGTAGCAAGGGTTTCGCATCACGTTTTACCATATAGTTGCGCTCTAAACACATATAACCGTTTAGGTCGCAATCAGGATACTTAGCCAGAGGCGTAGGCATTAAGCTGTAAGCTGAACAATTGCACAAAGCCATTTGATGTTGGCGCACACAATCGGCCATACACGAGCTGAAACTGTAAGCTTTAAAGCCGGTATCATCAACAAGCTCGTCCGCAAACCGGCATTGCCGGTAATGAGGCGATATATCCCTTACTCCTGGATCATTGATCATGTTTTCAATAAAAAATTGAAAACTCTTACGTTGACCCGGTTGCATAATTTCCACTTTAACCGTTGGTAACGCGTAATGGGGTACGTCCTCTTCATTTAAAATACTAACCTAAGAAATTCAAAATCGTTCTTAGCAAATTGAAATTGAAATGTTTAGCCTAACGTTTAACAAACCTGGATAGGCCGTTTCGAATTTATAGTCATTATAGGTTTTTGATAAGCCGGATTTATCATACTCTTAAACCACGTAGGACTACCCCTACAAAAGGAAACGAGCACTTGAGTGTGGAATGATTAAACTAAGCAGAAACTTACTTTTTATTGTTTTGCAAGGAATTCAATAAAAAACATTTACCAAATGGTGTAATTAAAGGCAAGAAATACTTGCAACAATCGAAACTTTTATATGACAAGCTGCATTCGTTAAACAAGCTAGAACAATTGGCTCCGAACTGTACAGAGCAGCAAGAACGAGTTACTTACTTGACGCATTCATTTCGTTAACGTACTTACTTTTTCCAATAGGCCCCGATAATTATTCGCCGGACATTTGGCGCAATTCTCTCCGCAATTCTCGTATTGTTCACAACGTCCCCTGATCACTCCATCGTGATAAAAATAAGGATACATTATGAAAGCAATATGAGTTTCGATCTCATAATTGTAACAATCCAAGCCACAAGGTTCCATACTAAACAATCATTTCAAAAAAACAAAAAAAATATTTTCACTGACTCATCTGTACTCACTCCTAACCTTCACTTACCTTGCCACATACTCCTCAATATCAGGTCCTAATTCGTACTTATTGTATAAATCGCAAACGCTGATAGTAGGAAATTTAACTCTGGCGAATGGATGAATGCTCTCATAGACAATGCTTACAGCTCTACTTTCAAAATCATTTTCGTATTCATCGATTAAATGATAACAGCCCCAAGCGGATAGTACGACACAAATTAACCAAAATAAACGTTCAGTGAAATGTAAGCTATGTAGGGTCGCATATGCAAAGATTATTAACACTGGAGATTACAATAATTATGCAATGGAAAGTCTTACTTTTCATTGGCGATGTAACTAAAGCCAGACAATGTGCAATTGACACAATAATCCTTTAAGTGAGTCACAAATTTCCAACGCATTTGTATGCCAAGTTAACGCGACTACGATTACTTCCTTTAACTTTGGATGATGATTGCTTAATGTCTAATGACTGGCAAGCAGGAAATACACGTTTATACAAGCAAGCAAGCAGGCAGGCAGGCAAGCAAGCAAGCAAGCAAGCAAGCAAGCAAGCAACAATACAATAGGTCAAAACAAAACTGCGATAAACATGAAAGTCAGGCATGAAAAGCTTTTGCCTGATACACTCATGCAAAGCCGCCACGTGCGAGCATTATGTTTGAAGCATTTAATTAGTGTATTTGCTTTTGTGTAGGTGTCACACTTAATAAGGACTTATATAATATATCGCATTTAGATTGCATGGCTTTGTGCGTGTGTGTGTGTGTGGTATTCGCTTAACAAAGAGGGCATGGTTTCGTATCTTTGCCATGAAATCCACTTAAGATAAAACAATTATTGTGTTGTTGTTCTACTTGTACGTACATGACGTTGTTACAAGTTGCATGTTCAAAAAAATAATTACATGCATACATACATTCATTTACGTTTGTTAATCCAAGTTTTTGTAGGTGCTCAGAGAACGTGTTTTGGTGTAAAAATACGCTTTTTTTTTTTTTTTTTTAGCAAGATTTCATATATGAAGGGTGGATAACTGAAAGTGTAGTTGGGTTTATATTTCAATAGACTACAAACTAAGTTGGAAAGAGTCTCCGGTATTGGGCGTAAATACGTGTTACGTAGGTTACACAAAATGTTACATTAATTTTTGGACAAGTTGTTGTTTCAGTATATTGTGGAGATTGCTTCAGTTGGTTTCATCACCTATCATTGTATGCTTTCCCTTATCCGCCTTTCGCATTCCTGGGTTTTTTTTATTTATGGCGCAGTAACGAAAACCTTTTATCTCCTTCTTGTCATACCCCTTACACTAACAGTTATCTATAAGCATTTAATAATATTTTTAATTTAATTCTTTTTTTTCTTTTCTTCTTTCTACTCTACTCTGTGTTTTATTATAACTTATCCTGCAGATTATCCATCCTTCTAATAATAATAAAAAACTGCCGATCATCGATTTATATCCATTTCACTTTATTTGTTACCAGATACACATTTTTAATCGTAATGTCAACTAGTGCCCTTCAAAAGGTTTCCATTATACCATGCCGACGGTCCATTCCCGCTATCAAGTCTTCGTTGGCCTGGAGCTCATTATTTTTATGCATTTTTCAATATTTCACTTATTATATGTTGCCAATTACCATTTAGTCCGCTCACGTATATCTTCTGCGCTGTTCGTTTTTCAATTTCAATGTTCAGCATATATCCTTTATTTTCCATTCATTATTCCTAATCCGTCATTGTTTATCGCTCCTGGTCAATGTCTACTACTGAATATCCATCTTATCTGCTCTTCACTGCCTACTGTTCATTATTCCTTCAACGCTTTACATTGTACCTTAATTATCGTTTATTCTTCATTTTTGTGCTTATTCTCCATTCTACATATGCATTCATGTTTATTTTTGATTATTCACTATTTACAATGATTCATTGCTGAATATTGAATATTCACTTCCTACTATTTGCGGATCAATATTTATTTCTCACTATTCATTGTTTACTGATCATCGTCCGGTCTTGACTGCTCACTGTTTTTGGTTCATTAGTTATCACTCATTCTTCATTTTTTTTTTTTTTTACATTGATTTATTCTTCATTCTTCATCCTTGCGGATTCGCTAGTGACTCTTCATAATTCACTGTTATTCGCATTATTCACCATTTACATCTTTCATTGCCATTATTCTATTAGCTTTTAACTCTTCGCTGTTCCCTAAAGATTTTCGTTACTTCATTGTTTATGTTTCGTTCTTCATTGTTCACTATTCATCAGACACTCGTCGTCAGTCATTGGTCATTGATCATTCTTCGTTCGTCATACTCACAGTTCAGTATTCTCTGTACACTATATACTGATCATTGTTCATTATTCATTGGTTATTGCTCGTTATATGTTGCTTATTGTTTACTTTTCCTTGTTCACTGTACGTTGTTCATTATTCTTTGTTCAATGCTCGTCGTTTATTGATGAATTTTCCATTTTTCCCCTTTCTTCCTTTTCATTATTCATTGTTCATCATCCATTCATTAAGCATTGAAGCTCTTTTTCCAGAAATATCAAAAGCGGGCCCAGAAAAGATGTTGTCTTTTAGGAAAAAAAAAAATTATAAAAAAAATATATTCATATATATACATATATATATATAGAGATATATATTAAAAGTACTTTTACTTTTTAAGGCTACTAATAGGGCTAAGCAACGCCACATAGAACTCATATACTGATATTTAGCCTCTTGCGCTCAAACACACATTTGCGCATTCAGATATCATTTTCCCCTTGATGTTTATAGTTACTTGCTATAACATAACGGATACAGGTGCGGTGATGCCATTCCTTTTTGTTCATGCTTCCATCTGCCGTTGTAGTTATTGTTACTGTTGTGTCGTTTGTGTTAACACGTGAAGGTACTTAAAGTTTAATGCAATTATGCAATTAGTTTATAACTATTTGTTGCTGCTACTGTTCCTCTGTTATTGCTCGCTCATAGGTTCGCATTTTGCCTTCAAATAAATATTTTATTATAAGAGTTGTATGCTAATGTATCCTTAGTTTCAATAGGTAGCAAAACTAACAAAATTGGATATACAGGTCGGAAGTAAAGACAAACAAACCCAACACTAATATTCAACAATAATTAAAAAGTAAGAAAAAACTAATAGTTAGGAGGAAAAGTTCAAGCGACCAAACAACAGTGAAATGCTGAGTAACGAGTAGAGAATAGTATTAAACTTACAGTACAGTGAGCTATTACGAAAACAGCCTAAGAGATCTATGTCGGAGTGTGTAAACCTATAATTTATCCTAAGCAATCATTTCTTAACGTAATCAATCCCTTCGAAACTGTTAAGCGGAATGCAAAGTAAACGAAGGAGCATGACAATATTTGATATTGAACAAATGGATGATAAAAGATTAACCTATCAAAAGATCCTAAAATGATTTAACGACAAAAGGAAAAGACTATAATGCGCCGTCGTTCATCATTAAATAGCCTACACCATCTTGAAATTATTCATATAATGATTCTTCAAGAGAGAGTGATCGAAAGTGATCGAAAAAGTGTTCCGATCCGACCCATTTTCAATAACATTCCTACTTGGGCTAAAACACGACAAGGTACCGAATTTTATCAAAATATCTTAAAAATTACGCCCTGTTAGTAGAACCCAATACCGAGACGGACAGACGGACATGGAAGCTCCGCGGAATCAAACATGGCTCTGTGTCAAGTCATTTTGAGTGCTGTGCTTGTACCCGCACAAACCTAACATACCTTCGCACCATTGATCGCGTGTAAAAAAGCTGAATATTGAGAGGGTTTTGACGGTTCTGGCTTCTTATACATGTGCTTATAGAATATAACTGTAAACATTTATTGGTATATTCCTTGAAGATTAAGAAGTAATGATTACCAAAAGCAGAGAGATATTCTCAGTTCATGTGTTCTCTGGTTCATTTTAAGTTCCAATGTTTTTTACCAAATCTGAGAGCGAAATTTTTATATATACCATCGAACCAATGGTTGGTAATTTTTGTTTTCAGCCTGATTAGTACGTTAAGAAAAAGTTTTGAATCCAATTTGCTCAAAAGGAATTTGGATAAAAATATGGCAAACGTACCGATTCTAACGTTTCGCCCAATAATTGCCGCAAATGACGTAATGAGACGTAATGAGTCTGTAAGAAAAATTTGATATTACTTTTTTGTCGTTGTAGGCGACATCTGCTGTTGTGAGTTGCAGCGGTTTTTGGTGGTGTCACTTAGGTTATTTCCACAGCTTTCAGTCATCAGACGGACCGATGCGCAGATACGTAAATAACTCTATCGATCGGTATAATGAAACATGCGTCCCTCTTAAGTCTTTCTGGGTGTTGCCTACGGGCGCACATACTTAATATACCCTTGTACCATAAGCATCCCGACTATTACAAAAAAGAAAAAAATATAGGCCAAGGAGACACTAAATTTAACTTCATCGTAAGAAACATTTTAATATTAGGAAGCTTTAACAAACTCATCGTTTGCTTGACTCCCGAATTCTCTTGCAAGTGTCGGAGAAAATATCTAGGGGAGGATAAATAAACTTCGTTATCTTTTTCTATTTGCTTATGCTAATATTCTCGTAACTTGGATTGTATTGCATCAGTAAGCCTTACATTAGTGCTTCCTGGGGTCAGTCAAACTTATCTGAATGGATGTTGTAGCATAATGTAACTAAATTGAGGTTAGGAACAGTGCATTCTTCTACACAAATTGTAGACAAACTATAAAATGACAACTTAGATATGATCTTTTTTTGTTTACTTTTTTTTTTAAGGTGACCACTCGGGAGATGGCCCCTATTTGTAAAAGAAATTGCAAGGCGGTGGCCGTAGTCTAGTGGATTTGTGTGCAATAAGTAAGCGTAATGCGTCCATCGACTGAGCTACGACGAAAGAAACCTTTACCGTAATTAAGATTTGAACACGCGAACATTGACTTGATGGACACTGTTCTTACCTACTCGACTACTCAGGCGGATAAACTATTTGATATTATTTGAAAATATTATGTTAAGTGTGGAGGCATTAGTTGGCCGTCTGTAA